CCTCTTTCATCATGGATGGCACAATCTTCCTAACGAAGTAGGTTGTTCATCTAACACCAGGATGTCCACAGTACAGGCTTATTTTCTTAATCTAGCTGAACTCCATTCCATTGCTAGTTGAAGCACATACCTGTAGCACAGGTTTCGTTTCATTTTTCATTTCCAGCCACCTCTATGGTAATCTCATCTGTCTTTATTGTGAGCAATGCCGAATTCACAATTTTCCGGGGGACAAGACTGGCACTGTAGACTCTCCCCTTGTATTTTTCCCCAAACAATTCCACAACAAATGACCTGGCTCCCCCACACTGGAAGCATGTGAGTTTTTTGGGGAGCTTTCAGTCTCTTGCATTGAGCAAGGTAGTCACAAGCATCACACACATAACATTTTTTTGGTGCAGTTGCAATTCCTTCCATTGGGTTACATGTTGATTTTACAGCTGCCACAGCTAGTTCCATTCCGTGGGGGTCATCCTTTAATATTACCTTGCATGCACCTGTGTAATGTCGATTTGCCAAGATCTATGGAGGAGCTGCTTAACATGCTCTGGTAGACCAGCCACAAAGGTACATATTAAGCCTTGTTCTGGTATACCACCAAACAGAACTGAGTGTCCATAATCCTGCCAGAAAAACATTGAGAGGCTCTCCAGGACATAAATGTTGTGCCACAAATCAGTCATATGAGTCAGTGGCAAAGGCCGTATGCAGGGCTTCCTTTATGCAGCCAAAGTTGTTTTTTTCTTTCTTCACCCAGCTGCTGTATGCACCACTCATTGATGTATCTGGACTACAAATTCAATACTTTTCACTGTGCACAACCGACATATCAATTCTACCTTCTCTATACATTCGACAATGGGTTGTTCAGGATCAGTATTAGTTTTGGACCAAATCAGCTTGTAATAATAAATCTGTAGTAATCTGGTTCATATTCCTCACTGCCACATCTTTATTCTTGAACCTCACAGCTGGTTTGTTGAAATGTATTCATCACCAGACAATCCTTTTTTTCCCCATCAAAGAAAAAAAAATTTTCACACCCACCTACAAGCATTTAATTAGTCCTAAGACACTAGATAATTTACATGACCATGCAATTTTGTGTCTCTTTCTGCAGGAAGATAGGCCATGCCCATTATAAGCTATAACACAAAAGTAGCTGTTAACATAGAAATTAACTTTTTGACTAATTGTAAATATCTAATTGTATTAGTGTATACCTGAAAGTTAATATTTTTTTTAAAGAATTATGCAAGAGCCTCACTTCCTCATGATGTTTAGTAAAAGGAAATATTGAAACATAAAATGTTTTGAAATATAAAAAAATATACAAGTAAGAATATTTAAAATCTTAGCAAATACTGAATGTAAAAAATATTTTTCAGGATACAAGTTGTCATGGTTCTCCACACATTTCTTCTTTTGTGACTTTTCAGGCCTTCTTGTTCTTGTGATTTCCTGTTGCCTTCTCTATAGTTTGGAATTCAGAATTTTTCTTGCTGCCACAAAATTAGAGAACCTAATCTATTCAACTATTTAATCCATAGCTGGAGGGAGAAAAAGAGTTGTCTTTCACAAGTAAATTAGTTACTTGCTTACACAGTAATTTCTTTAGGTGATTTTAGAAGTTTTTCAGCAAGATAATTTTATGTAAAGAGGTTCATATCTGTAGCATATATAATAAGGACTTTTCACTATTAAATATTTTTTCCCTATCATCTAATATGTTGAATGCCATCAAGTACACACATCCTAAATTAATTTATATTTCTTGAAACCTAGCCAATCCTGTAATTCTGTCAAAGTGAAGCAAAAAGGTTGAAATGCTTAATCACTCTACTGGTCAAGACCATATTCTTTATATCTTACTGCTGAGCAAATATGAAAGTTGAAGTGTGTGTGTGTAAAGCAAATAGTGAGTAAGCCACAATTCCTAGAAGCAACTAGCATATTTGTTCAAGAACCTTACAAGAAAATATTGTTTGTCAACTTATAATTTTCAAGAATATTGTTTAATTTTTCACTTATCTGTTCACTGGTGTGAGCAACTTCAAAAAGGAACAATTCATAAAACAGCTTTCTTGTTATTAACTTTTTAAGATGTTAAGAAAGTTTTGGCATTTGCAAAAGTTTTGTTATACTTATCTTTAATGCTTGGAGCCATAAAGGTTTTATGTTATCTAAATTTGTAATTAAAAAAAATATAAAAATTTTTAACACCTTTGATTACCATGCTTAATTGAATCTAAAAATGAAATTAAAGAATCAAAATCAGTAAATAAATCTAAAGAATATTACATTTTAGTATAATACTTGCATTTGATGTACATTGATTGCTGGGACTTTTGTAGTAACTTTTGCAGCAATATTAAAATTTGTACATATTTTAACATATACTATGCTGAAATTTAGAAGTCAGTACTATTAAATCTCAACAAGAAAAGTCATATACAAGAATATTTCTGATAAAATAAGTGAAAACAAAATGAGATATGTCAATAAAAATGCTTCAAATTGACATAAAAAAATAATTTTATCACAATCTTTGTGTTATTCAAAAGAAAAATAATTGGAGAAAGCTCTTATATAAAAATTATTTGGGTTAATGAAAAATAACCAAGGATTGTAATTTTTGAAGTTGTCTACACTAAAATAAAATATTTTTAGGTTAACTAGACATTGATAAAAAAACATACAAAAAATCAGTTAATAATCAGATATTAAAATGTTTAATTAACAGTTAAAGTGTCTCTTAATAAATCTATAACACTTGAATACAAGAAACCAACTGATTGAAAGTAACTGATACAAGAAAAAGAACCACTCATCAATAGACTAATTAATGTCAGAACACTGAAACCTTACCCTTAAAGTAAAAATCAAGACCTTTCTAAATGATACAGGCCTGAAACTTAAGAGCATATTTCACTTGAAGATAAAATGAGATAATATTAATAATCTAATGGAAAATATTTTAAACTTGCTTGATAAACATGTACACTAGTATGTGTTTTATTTCTTGTTTCATTTATAAAATAATCATATATGGGTTACTGAAGCCCTAACTGATTTGGAATTTATGTTCATAGTGAAATATAAATAAAAAAAAAGTAAAAATATAATGACATTGTAAAATAAATGAAAAATACTATGTTTGGATGTTAGAAAAACCAGCTGCTCATTAATCAAGATTTTCATGGACAAACATGTAACTGATTTTATTGAAATTTGAATCAGTTACACAAAAGAGGTTGTTTTTATGAACCATGTTCCTTCAGGATATGGGCAATTATGATTCTCTACAATTTCTTGTCTTTTGTTGCTTTAAGTAACTTTTGACACTTTCTCCAACCCTCTTTGTTTTGCCATCTATTCACACAAACTCATCAAGTAAAAAAAAAGAGGCTTACTGTCTATAAATAACTATGATTCATTTTTTTCATGAAGAATTTACATTGCAAGTACAGTCTTTTCTGAGTTTGCTTTTTGAAAAGATTATTTTAACGCACTGATAGATTATAAAAATCTTTCATGGTTGGAAAAAAGTATTAAAAAAAAAGAAATGGAACTTACACAAAGCAAAGAAAACAATTAGATGAAATTAGGTTCTTTGAATAAATAGAGATATTTCACAGACATAAAATGTTCGTAATAATATAGTATCAGAATCATGCATTTATACTTTCAGTTAAACCAAGAAATCCATTTAAATTGTTATTTACTGTAAGGTAAATTGAAATATAAGTTTGCTACTTTGAGACAAATGTACCTGATTCAGCCTTTTCATTACTAGTCAAAATATTCACATCAGTTCACAATGCAAACTTAATTCATTTTGTTTGATGCTTTCTATTTTTTATAAACTTTCCTGTCTCTTCCTCAAAGAGATTCACTGCTAATTATTATTTCTTTTTTTAAATTAATTGGTATCACCAATATTGGCTCATTAACATATTGAATACATTTACAGATTTAACTTTATAAAAACAATTGTATCATAGATGGTTTATTTATTCATTGTCTAAACCTCTACTTAACTAATATTTGTCTAATTATGATCTTTATTACAATCTACATACTTTAAAAATATGATAATCATTAGTCAAAGAGTCAACAAAAGTTATTTTGTTAACTCTAGTTCAAAAACCATTTAACTTAAAATTAAAATAATTCAATGACATTAGAATTTTCCTCCCCTTTAAGTTTAGAAGTAAAATTTCAATAAATTAAAAAAAAAATGTTTGTTTGTGCAGTGAAAATAAAACAAAGAAACATTGAGTATTCGCAGATTTTTAATTTAGAAATCTGCGAATAGTCGATTTTTCTTAAAAGTAAAACATATTTCTTAATTTTTAAATACAAATTATTTAGTGCCAAATATTGAAATAATAGACAACAAATAACATGATGCCTGATTTCTGTTAAGAAACGAACTAAGACTAGAGAATGGATATCGACTGAAAAGAGAAAATCAAAATAAATATTTTTTTAAGTCGTTTATTTACGGCACATTTCATAGGAAAAAAATCAACGTGTATAATCTATACTTCATTTTATTTGTCTAAAAAGTAAATAGGAAGGAAGAATAAAAGTTAAAATTCAAAAATCAATTATGTAAATTTCGATATAAAACAAACATCAAGATAAAGTTATTGCAGATGTTTTTAAAGGCACGCCTTTAAGTGCCAAAATAAAATATCTATCGATGGAAGCCATTTAAAAATAACAATTTAACATAAATTTAATTTTCTACAAATAATAATTTATCATTGTAGCATTAGAAAATAATATCAGATAATTTGAATTCTTTTAAAGTGTTACCTGGAATTGAGAAGAATGCTTAAAACTAAAAGTAGTTATTGATATATTTTTCAGCACTTAGAGAAATCCACAAGTTTTAAAAAATATTGATCACTACGCTGTGTTTAAAAGTCTCTAAAACAATAACACTTCTTCAGAATTAAACTTTTATCTAATAAAAAAAGAAAGTATCTTACCTTGGGTAACAAAATGGGTTCCTTAAGAATCTCAATGCCATAGTGAACAGAATTAATTTCGTCGATGTCGAGGAAGGCGGTCACACGAGCAATGCACACTAAAAGGCCGAAAATAAGAAGCGACCAAAACGTAAAATATGTTTTGGTAGCCATAACTGACGGTGTGTCTATTCTGCTTATTGTAAAAAGGAGATCTGAGAGAAACGAAAAACGAAATTTTAGAACTTTTACAAGTGTTTTGGAAACTATACAAATTTTCTTTACCTCTCCTTTTCATTATTTATTTCGGATTTTTTAAAAATATTTGGTACTGGTTATTCGTAAGCAATTCAAATAAATGTAACAATATTCTACAAAAAATCTTACATGTATGTTTTTTTTTTTATTCACTATTTTTGATTAAATGTTATTGGTGAAAATAAAATGAAAAAATTTATCTACTCTACGTTTTTTACATGATAATGCTGTAAATCAATTTTTTTTTTCGGAAAAACCTTCTTAAACGAGTTTCCAACGGTGCACACATAAGGAAATTGTTTTTAAAAAAAATCTTAAAATTAAAAAGAAACACTTTCTTTCTGCCTCATCCCCGTATTTGTCACGGGGATGAGGCAAAAAAGTACCAACTTCTCACAGTTGGCTCCTTTTATTTCGGAACTCAAGTCATTTTTAGAAATTCTTGCTTCCTCTCCGCCTCTTTCATGCGATAAAATTTCCATTGCATTATTCCGGGATGATGAACCAATGAGCGTAGATCGAAAAAAATCGATGAAAAGGAACGAAATGAATAGGCGTAAAAATGTGTTGCATTGGGAGGTGCTTGTCAAACAAGAACGTGCACTTCTTGGCATTTTTACCTCGTTTACTTGAGCTTTTTATTAAATAAGTAACATAGTGTTTGAAAATGTCTATCATTTTTTTAGTCTGGACATGTTGCCATGACAACTGAACTTGTTACATTTTAATTTTACATCTCTCAAATTGGAATATGGAAAATCTTTACTTTAAATGTGCTCGTAGTTCCAAAATTTAGATGACAGTACACATAAAAATTTTCATACTTACAAGAATTTATTTTTTAAAAATTGAATATTTTCGGTTTTTATTTACTTTTGATTTGAAATATAAATTCACTTTTTCCTTTATCTTTTTATTTAACCGCTCACAATATTATCACCCCTTTGCTGCAATTGACATGACGAGCTCATCAAACTTTTGCACCTTCACTGTTCCTTATTCTGGTATACAAGTAAAAAAAAACTTATTATTTATTCAAGCCTACATTGTTTAAATTTAAAGTTAAATATCACTTCTTGTCATTCTTTTCTGGAATTTCGGAATCGATAAACAAAATTTGTAGCATTTGAAAAGTACGTGTTTGAAAGAATCGTCCAGGCTCCGAATTAAAAATTCCTGAAAAAACTACACTACAAAGTGACTGTTAGTTCTGAGAATAACATTTTTTAGCGGTAAAGAAAGAGTAGCAAGCGATAAGCTTTTCTAATTCGACATTTATGATGCAGTTTCCTATATGCCTCCTTTTCAGTGAGTGTGATACTTACTATGTACCCACATTATTATAGTCCTGTGCCAACAAAGTTTATTTTAAAATTTAAAAACCCATTAAAAACGTTCCCTGTCCAAAAAATTAGAGAGTGGGTATTTAATAGGTTATAGCTAGAAACCTACAACTAATATCATATTTCTTTCAAAAACTTATAATTAATACCGGATTTGTATTTTAATTTTTGAAATCAATAGTGAATTTTACGGTAGGCATTATTAATTATGGGTTAACTTTCTTTGTTATGGTGAAACTTGGATTTTATTTTTACTCAAAGTAAACACTGAACCAACGTTGCGATTGAAAAAAATTCCAATAATTATCTCCCTTGATAGCCTCGCTTTAATATGTGTTCAAAATGGCGAATTGTTATTGAACAAAATATGTACCATAACTGAATATTTTCTCAGAATAGTATCTATATCAGGAACCAAAAATGCTGAGTCAAATAACAGATGAAGAGTACCTAGACATGTCCGACGATGAAGTTACGGATCCAGAAAGCTCTGACAGCAACGATGACGATATTAGCATCGTGATGAAATCGTCGGATTCGTTTAAAACCCAAAAGAAAACATTCAGGAAGAAAACAAACCACGAAGAATTTATCACAGATTTTGATAAAGAAATGGAAAGTGAATTGTGCGATACAGTTCATGCTCTGGAATTTATTAGAAAACTCTCAGGCACTGGGAATTCCCTGCAAAATGAGTTTATTGCTTCTACATCATCATCACAAAAAAATGATAGTGTACTTACTTCAAGGGAAGTACATGATTCTGTGGGTAACTCACAGCCTTCGTCTTCTGAAGAGAAATGTAAACGTTATGATGATATTTATTTCGATTCAGACGAAGAAATAGAAAAGAAAGATTCTGACAATTCTTTCAATCAAGTTTTATCAAACGATGAACTTTTTTACGATCCTGAAATGGATAGAAGAGATCAGATGTGGATGGACGAAAGAAGACTCAACCCTCATATGTTGTTACCCTCTTCTAAAAAAAGAAAAAACAGCGTATTTAGAAAGAACAATAAGAAAAATAATGAAGTTAACTCCAATAATTCCTTGAAAAGAAAAAAATTACAAAACTCAAAAAATCGTCGAGCACACAAATCAGATGCTATCCTGGACTGTCCGGCTTGTATGACTACTTTATGTATTGACTGTCAAAAACATGACATTTTTCCGAATCAGTACCGGGCAATGTTTGTAATGAATTGCACCATTGACTTTACTGAGAGATTCAGATACCCACAAAATGCAGGTCAAAAAAAGAATCATAAAGTTAGCCTTCATGGTGATAAGAGTTCTATTGTGCCGTTAGCTGAAGAGAAAGATGATATTTACTATTCTGTCAAGTGTAATGAATGTCGCACGCAGGTAGCTATGTACGATAGAGACGAAGTGTACCACTTTTTTAATATAATAAGCAGTTATGGATAAATATAGAATTTGGTCAAACGTCCACTTCCCGGGAAAACATAGCATTTTGAAATAACATTACTACTTCATAAACTTTACCTTTTTTTGTTTTTTTTTCTTAAAGAGATATTGACACCAGTATCTTTTAAAATAAATGGATAAACTCCGGAAGGAGTTCTACAACATTTAAAAATCAATTTTAACTTCAACTGTACAACTAACTGTATTGTACTCTAGAGTGTATGAATTCATGTACAAAAAATCGGCAAATATAAAAATATAAATTACAAAAAAATGAAACTTTTTTTTATGGACAGTTCATTAATAATAAAAAAAGTTATGTGACAAGTAGTCGATTAAAAAAAAACATAGATTTTCTTAATTTTGGTTTGTTCTTCGCTATTCAGTTGTCACGCGCTTATCCTCTTGATTTTTATTGCATTAATTTTATAAACTTTGTAAATACACGCGGTAGGTTTTTTTTGTTTACATTACTAATGACTACAGGGCATTTAACAAAAAATGAAAAATTTAGATGTATTATTATTATTAACCTGATTGTTTAGGAAATATTTTTGTGTGATGTCTGAGCTGTGTTTGCACAACACGGAAGAAACATCACACAAATTGACAAATATATTTCCTAAAATAAACATACGTGCGCTTATATAAATTTGATCCCAAGGTGACTTTATTTGTAACAAAAGAATACATTTCAAAATTTACTACATCCGGTTTAAAACTGACCAGCTTATCCTACTCGACAAGCCATGAAAATGAAATTGAAAAACAAACCAGACCTTGAGAACCACAACTTCCTTCGCGTTCCCATCACACTAACAGTATTTTGTTACAGTCATGTTTAATTTGATTTTTTGATAACTTATTTTATAGTAAAAAAATAAAAGCGAAAGTGGTTGTCGAGGAAAACTTTGTTCTACACACTCACGGAAAGAATAATCTGATAAGGTTTTGTGGAGAAAATGAGACGACTGCAATATAAATTTAACGAACTTGTTCTAAATTTTATTTGTTGGCTATAATGTTGCCTTTAAACACCCTAGAAAACCATTTTTTTTTAATTGCGTTTTTTTTACCATAGATTAAAAATATATATTTGAAGTTGCTTTTGTGCCAATTCCTAATTATTTTTATTCTGGAATGTCTTTGAAACATGTTTTATTATCTAAGACAAGTTGTCAACAAACAGAAATAATGATTGCCTTATGTGTAAAAAGAATTAATTTTATAATATATTGAAGTTAAAGACATGAAAAAGGTCTTCAAAGTGATACTGATTTAATAATATAATCATTTAAAAAATATAAAATTCCTTTTGTTATAATTAAATGTTCAGCTATCTTTGAGGCATATAGACATACTGCAAATTTTCTACATAAAAATGAAAGTTATCTTGAATGGCCACTCTTTTAGATCTTATTGTATTAATGCTGGTGCTCCCCAGAGCTCTAGCCTTAGACCTATATTTTCCTCATTTTCATCACCAACCTTCCTGAGAGGTCATCAGTTCTCAACTCGGTATGATGACACAACTATCAATTTGTGTCTTAATATCAGTTCCATAAGACCAAATTGGATACTCATTTCAAAAATTACCTACAATCTGTTGTTAACTGGAGCAAGGAATGACTTGTTAGTTTAATTCCTCCAAAATGAAACAGTTCTCTTTTAATTGTCTGAGAAAACCCTTTTTGCCTTCCATCAACCTCTAGGAGAGTGACTCATTCTGACTTCACATTTTCCCTTGACAGGAAGTGGAAATATTATATTGAATCAATTGCTTGGTCTGCTACTAGGAAAGTTGGTTCACTGTGTTGTACTAGACAGTTTTTCTTGCCAAAATTTATTTTACATATTTATAAACCTACCATTCACCCATGATTAGAATATTGCTGCCACATCTGGTCTGGCGCTCTGGCTATATATTTAAAGATTCTTGATAAAATCCAAAGAATAATCTGCAATAACCAGGCATCTTGGCTTCAATCACTTTCCCACTGCTGTAATATAGCTTTCCTGTACCTTTTCTATAAATACTTTCATGATAATTGTTCTGATGAACTTTCCTTTATGCTACCTAGACTTTATGAACTTTCCTTTATGCTACCTAGACTTTATGAAGTGCAGTACTAGATTGGCAGCAAGGTCCCATCATTTTACACTTCAATTGGCCAGATGTAACCGTAAGTTATATGCTTCACTCTCATTTCTCGCTTATGGAACCCCCTTCCAGCTTCCTGTTTCCCAATCAAAAATTATATGCAGTGTCAATCGTTATCTCCTGTTCTTTTATTGTTCTCTTTTTGTAATAGTATTTTTTTTCTCTCACACTCAGAAACCATTTGTGTCTTAGTGGCTTTATTACTTTGCTTGGGATGAAATGATTAAAAAAATAAGGCTTAGCATAAAACATTGTCTTAAGTACTGATGGTTGGTTGCTAGATTATTAAATATTTTTTCAAGTTTACAAGTTTAGCATATTTTCCACACTTTTCTACATAATAGATATATAAAAAAAAATTTTTAAGGAAAGTAATCAATATTTGTTTATAACCTGGATAAAAATATAAATATACTAGATACATGTTAGCTCTCCAGAATAAATAAAAAACAGAAATTTATACATTTGTATTATAAATAAAAATATTCCAAGTTTACATTGCAAGTTTACACCAAAATATTTCCTTTTCTGATTTTATAGTCAAATTCCTGCTTATTTATAAGGCTTTACTTCATCAGCATCTCTTAAAGTTTTGTGTGTATATAAAAAGGAACATTTCTGAATACTCATGTTTCAAATATTATACAAACAGTAGCTAGTAAATTTGTTCTGAATAGGTTAATTTCACTGAATAAGTGTAAAAGAAAGGTGCATCTCCTTTATAACATTACATTAGGTTTATCAAGCATTTTGCCAGTATTTATGAGAAAAATCTTTTGTAAATATCTTACAAACAATTTTATTATCAGTAGTCACTGACCTCTTTTGACACATCTATATTGATATGTGAGTAGTAAATATCTACATTTTTGGATTGATTCATCTGTAAGAAAAATTGAATGAGGTATAATGTTAAATTCAATATATCCTGTATTCTAAGATGGATATGGAATTTTAGATGTTTACTATGTCTATACCCAGGGCCGATGCTAGGATCTCAAGCCTCCCTCTCTACTACATGTTGATTTCAAAGTTATTTCAGGGAGTTATACAATTTAAATGAAAACTTCAGTACATATTCATTAATTATTTACTTTTATTATGAATAGGTTTATTATTTTTTTTTAAAAATCTATGAAAATGTTATTCTTTTGGTAATAGCCACCAATATTTTGTGACTAAATTTTACTTAAAATAATGTTTAAGTCGCAAATTTTTACATTTCCATAAAGATTAACTGCCAATGCATATCCACTGAAAGAAAAGTTTCAAAAAGATTCCAACACAACACAAATGGGATTGTATTAAAAATTTATTTAAAAACAGTATTTCAGCTTCCAGGAAAATTTTTCCATGTGTTGAAATCTTTAAACATTTTTATTTTTTAAGCGATCATTTTCTCTGTTTTATCTTACTAGGAATGTAAAAAAATAGGGGCTAGAAATTTTATTTTAATTACTAGACATGGAAATCAGAGATCCTCCTTAGTGGATGATCTTGGAATAAAAAATGATTTTACCAAGATATATTATCATCTTAATTGATTTAAAAGAACTGTTCAGAAAGAAAATTACAATTTAAAAAAATAAGCACTACTGAAATTAGTACTTCTGCACACACACAAACACACACACACACACCCTCATCAGTAGTCATGGGGCCCCACACATTTGAGAGGTTTGGGGTATTAAGCACCAGTCCTGTTGATTATTGTAGTGGATGATTGACAATATAAGTTAGGTAGAAAAAAAGTAAATTTATAAAAAGCTACGGAAGTTAGCCCTTTTGGGCTTCAATCTTGTCAGGCATTCCTGCATAGTATGCACAACACTGACCATGCAGATACACAACGTTTATTATTAGATGATGATTGACAATGTAATGTCAGTGTTAAAAAATGGCAGATGACAATAAAACAGTGCTGAGAAAAAATGATAGAGGTTGCAATGGGGTTTTTTCACTATATTAAAACTAGTTGTCAGTCATAGAGAATATTAGATTAAATTTTATCTTTGCAGAAGTAGTCTAGTATATTTCATTAGTTTTTACCCTAACTTTATATTACATGTGCCATTGTGATGACTTATTTGAAGAAATATACAAAATGCTCCATATCAAAATCAATTATATAGAAAATTTTTACCAAAATAGCAACACTTGTAAGTGCTAGTATGCAGTTTCTGTTATAGTACTGAGAACTACTCAATTATTCACGAATATGCAGGAAAGTCAAAATTAATTTACAGGAATGATAAGGCATCTGAACTAAACCAAAATTTTCCAGGATCTCAATAATTACACTGTTGCAAAAAAAAAACACCACCTCTCTTGTTCATTTTTTCCATTGTGTATTAATGATCAAAATAAAAATATC